GTGACAATCCGAAGATTTATTTTTCCAGTATCAGCTCAAAGCGCAAAGTTTATATCACCCTGTATAACATTAAAAATACATCAATCATCTCTAGCACAAGAATAAAGGATAATTATGTCTTATTTTGTGTGTCTATAGTGGGTCAATGAGATATTTTTGGCCTAAATATTAAAAATTAGCAAATCGATGTTTAATTTTTCGCGTAATTGTTACTACAACCGGCAACAAAATACAGTTATATCAGAAATGATTGGATTTCTGTCTCCTGGTACCACTCACTTTCACGCTGCTAGTGGTATTTCCGCTGGTACTACACAGCGATATCTCGCGTTTTGCAAAATTACACGCTTCAACTGAATACAGAGAATACAATTAATTTTGTTATGTAAAAGTAATTTATTTATTCATCAAAATAATTAATGATTTTACTAATTGGAATATTGGAAATACTCTTCGTATTGCGTCGAGTACAGAAGATTCATAGTATCAAGGGAATTACAAGGGTTTTGTTGGAATATTTTGTCCCATTTTAACCCTTTATAGGTTGATGGTCCTTATCTATATGTTGGCCGAATTGGCGCGAAACCTTAACGTAAGCGGTTGAATATTCGACCAGTGAGCATTGGTAACACTGTATATTAGGGATTAATCACGATCCTGCTCAATCCACTCAACGTAAGAAGCTCAATTTTTGCTTACAGGTTGATTCTAGGGTGTAAAGGTTCGATAAGAAGGGATTTTTCGAAATTCCAGTTCCAAGGGGGTGGAAACCACCTCTCAAATATTACAACATTTTTTATTTAAAAAACGGCCAAGTTTCCGACAAAAACGCTTAAAGTCGTATATTTTATTTTGTTTTTTACATATTTTAAGATTTTTTAAAAATGTGTACAGGGTGGTTCGAAAAATCTGGTCATTGATTAATCACGATCCTGCTTAAAGCGCTTGACGTAAAAAGCTGATTTTTGGAAAACGGATTGACTTTAGGGTGTAGAGGTTCGATAAGAAGGGATTTTTCGAAACTCGAATTCTAAGGGGGTGAAACTATCCCTCAAATATTAAAATATTTTTTATTTAAATTTGCGTCTAGTAGTGGTGATGCGCTGAATGTATTCTAGTATTTTCGCTACCGGCGACTGATCGATAACAGATGATTTGTTTTTCTTTTGTGAATTTGAATAAAACAAGTGTAGCTTGAAATGGCGCGTAAGTAATTGCAATAAATACCATATAGTTTTATACTGTAATGCATAATTGACAATTTTTTATCTTGTTGCGTGTTACATCTTGTGTTTTGTGGTGGTTGCGTAAGGTAACCACTAGGAACATATAAAAAATATATATTTTTATTGTAATTACACTAATTACTGTATAGTTTCAAACAGGAATGTACGATTGGTGGTATTTTATTCTTGTGCTTTTTACTTGTGATATGGTGGTGGTTGCGTCAGGTAACCACTAGGAACATATAAAATCTATTTTTTCTGCAATTACAGAAAAAAGGGGAAATGGTCTTTTTTTTGATCTCGAAAGGATGGATGATGAACAAATAGATTGCCTACTGGCTGACATTCCTTCAGACGGAGAATCCTTGGCAGATGACTATTTATCAGGGGATGAAGATGAGGTTGGCCGGGAACTACCTTACGACCTTGAAAACATTGACGAAAACAACATGATTGATAATCAGGAAGATCTTAGCGCGGAAACCTTACCTGAACCTCAAGATATTGAAATTGAGAGCGATGATGACGAGCCACTCGCAAGAGTAGCTGAGCGAATAATAGCTTTATCAAAATTCTCAGGTGCAACTTGGTCCCAAAATAATTATTATCAGGATCCCCCCAATGTTTGATTTATCTGAGAGCGTAAATATAAGCGAGGCAAGTGAAATGCCTGTGGACATTTTTCTGTGCTTATTCCCGGAGGATTTGTTAGAGACAATTACATTCCATACAAATTTATACGCTACTCAAGAAAATACTAATAAAGGAAATATATCTTTTCAACCAACTACATGTGAAGAAATAAAACTATTTTGGGAGTGAACCTACTTATGGGTATAAAGAAGCTTCCTAGCTTGAAGGACTATTGGTCTTCACAAGTAGAAGTCAGAGATGCATACATTAGCAAAGTTATTTCTCGAGATAGATTTTATTGGTTGCTTAGTAATTTACATTTCACAGACAATACCCTACAGCCTAAAAAAGGGGAACCAAATTATGATAAACTCTATAAAGTGGGGCCGCTTCTCTCTACACTTTCTCAAACACACAAAAGAGTGCTACTCTCCGGGAGAATTTCAAGCAATTGATGAAAGTATGATCAAATATAAGGGCAGATCATGCATGAAGCAATACATGCCTGCAAAACCGACTAAGCGCGGATACAAAGTTTGGGTTCGTGCAGATGATTCGGGTTACATTTCTGAATTTCAAATATATACTGGAAAAATAGGAGATCAGCCTGAAAAGATTTAGGCGCAAGAGTTGTGAAGGATCTAACAAAAGATTTGAAAAAGAAAAATCATAGGGTGTTTTTTTGATAATTATTTTGTGGTGTTCCTCTCCTATGGGATTTGAAAGAAGGATAAAATATATGGCTGCGGAACTCTAAGAAAGGGAAAGAAATATTTACCAGATGACTTTTATAGATGACAGGGACTTGCTAGAAGCCAGTATGATTGGCGAATGACGAAAGACCAGTTGTTATGCGTAAAATGGAAAGATAAAAGCCTGTATATTTTTATCAAATCATCATGATCCTGAAGACGCCGTTACAACTAATCGAAGAAACAAAGATGGTACATTGGAAGAAGTAAATTGTCCAAAACTAGTTGTCGACTACAATAAACATATGGGCTCCGTTGATAAGGCTGACATGCTCAAAAAAATGTTACGCTATTGATCGGAAAAAGCAAAAAGTGGTACCATAGAATAATTTGGCACTTTGTTGACACTACAGTGGTAAACGCATATATTTTATTTCAAAAGATGCAGTGGTATTTCGCTTACCCTGAAGCAATTTAGAATCAATGTTGCCTCAGGACTGATCGGTAGTGGATACTTACCCAAGAAAAAGGGCGAAAGTCTGTGGAAGTCATAAATCATTACAAAAAACAGTTCCAATCGAAAAAAGAACTGACAAGGCAGCCCATATGCCTATGCATCGTACCTCTAGACGTTGTGCGGTATGCAGCACCAAGGAAGTAGCGCATAGAAGTATGTGGAGTTGTATTGTTTGTGATGTTGGGCTATGTCTAAATGATAAAAGAAATTGTTTTGCGATTTACCATAGCGGCGAAGCTAATTAGTTTTATTACTGTTACTTTTTGAACTTTATAATGTAAAATACGTATTTTGTCAATATATTTTTTTTTTTTTATCTCTAATTTGAGCTCATTCCTACTGGTCAACTGAGAGGACCACCATTTTTGAAAAAAATCTGCCAACCCTGGTTACTCTTTTACTCATTTTGCGATTAATTGTTTGCTTTTGGCTATAAAATCTTATTTTTAAACAAAATTTCCAAAAAACGGTAATTCCGGACTCAAAGGGTTAAAGCGCTTGACGTTAAAAGCTGATTTTGGAAAACGGATTGACTTTAGGGTGTAGAGGTTCGATAAGAAGGGATTTTCGAAACTCGAATTCTAAGGGGTGAAACTATCCCTCAAATATTAAAATATTTTTTATTTAAAAACCGGTGAGTTTTCGGAAAAAAAAACTCTTAAACACGTATATTTTATTTTGCTGTTTTACATATTTTAAGATTTTTTATAAATTTATACAGGGTGTTTCATAAAATATGACCATTGAGTAATCACGATTCTGCTTAAACTGCTTGGCGTTTAAAGCTGATTTTTGGCAAACGGATTGACTGTGGGGTGTAGAGGTTCGATAAGGAGGGGATTCTCGAATCTCAAATTCCAAGAGGGTGAAAACGTCCCTCAAATATTACAATATTTGTTATTTAAACAACGGTTAGTCTTTCGGGAAAACGCTTGGACATGCATATTTTATATTGTTTTTTTACATATTTTGAAATTTTTTAAAAAATCATACAGGGTGTTCCAAAAAGTTGGGTAATTGATTAACCACGATTCTGCTTAAACTGCTTGACGTAAAAAGCTTATTTTTGGCAAACGGATTTTTCGAAAGTCGAATTCTAACGAGATGAAACTTCCCCTCAAATATTACCAAGTTTTCTATATAATTTTTTTACACATTTCAAAATTTTTCGCAAATTTAGAGAGAGCGTTTAAACAAAAATATGTCCATTAGACGAACGCTGCAAAAACTCTGTGAGAAAATTTTATCCAGTTTGTATGATAATTGAAATTCTTGCTTTGCTTTATTATCACCATTACATAAATGATTAACTCGACGTGAACGAAGTCGCGGGTACACGCTAGTAGGTAATAATTAAATTTAATAATTAAAAATAATAATTAAAAATATAGAAACAAATGTATCTGTGATGTTCATTTCTTTTTATTTAGTGCGCCAAATTTACGGCTCGGATTATATTTTCTGAAATATATTTTCGATCATTTCTCATAGGGATGCGAGTTTCTCGAAAAACAAAATTTCATTTACTTGATATGGACATATTTTTTACATTGAATGATACATACGGTTTATACATTATATACATTATACATTAGATCATTACATATTATCTACTTGCTCTAACAGTCTCTGGTTAAAAAATCGATATCTGTGCTAGTTTATATATTTTTGAAGTCAATTCGATTAAACTAGAAAGTAATGAGTACTGCCCTATAAAGGGTTAAGACTCAGCCTGTACAGAGATAACCACAATTTGTTTATATTTAAACTTTTTCTCAATAAATAAGAACACAAAAATTTTTTCAATAATTATTTTAAAAAAATTTATGGGTGATTTAGTAAAATATTATTTATTTAGAATTAACCCCCTTATTTTAAAATAAAAAAAAATTCAACGTTAATCTAAAAAAAATAATAATAACTTTTACTTACTCATATTTAATGCTTTTTCATTCCAATCAGTTCAACAGAAAAAAAATGTAATCCAGTTTCACATTAGCAAGTTATCGATACACCAAATAGATCGTAAACAAATATATCAATTACCGATTACAGTACTCGGTGGAGTACTTACATGTGCGAGTACCTTGTACTAAAGGTGGTTCGTACGAGACTGACGCATTGACGGAAGATTTTCACCACGGGTACTACTATTGCCGCCTATTTTGTACTACACAAGATAAGAGGGAAACCTGTTAAGTAGTACCTCTCACTATTGGCACGCAGTAGCGTTACAGTAAAGTACCTAACTGTTTATAATATTAATATTGTTTTGAGTACTTGATATAAAATAAATATTGTCATGAAATAATAAAATATTATAAATTTGTCATGAAAGATATGCTTAACGTTTATGAGGTTCAAAAAACTCTTATAAAAATATCTTTATTTTCAAAAAGTGATTCCGTGAAAATAGCAGAACTCACGAGCCGCCACTGTATGTTACGTTCAAAAAAAATTAAATGTACAGGGTGTCCCACCAAGAATAGCTCTCGGCTGTATCTCGGAAAGTGTTAGCCGGGCGCAACTGCAACAAAAAATAAGAAAATGGAGTTTTTACACAATTTTGCCCAGATAAGGTGTACTATAAGTAGTATTTTCATAATCTTCAGTAAATTTTGAATATTTTTTGTTAGAACCATTTTCCCCTATCTACCAAAATAAAGTGGTGGGGGAAGGTTAGATCTGTTTTTATTTAAATTTTAATAACTCCGGACTGGATGATCGAAATCCAACAAACGAGGGCTCGTTTAAAAGAACGTTTCTTACTCTATATTATACTATATAAACAATAATAATAAGCCTTTGAACGTAGATGCTAGGAGGCGTTGTCTTACAATTTAACAAACATTGCGCGTTTTTTCAAAAAAAATTAAATGCGATAGTATATATGTAGTTTTAGATGATAGTAAAGCAATATACCAGAATACCATAATAAGACCATAATACCAGATGTATTAATATCTAATAATTAAGATATCAATGACAATTAATAAGAAACGACGCCTCAGTGAAGTCATGGTAGGCTTTGGAAAAAAGTTGGTTTTGACGTAATAGTATAAACGTGAAAGTGTTATTAGATCAACATTTTGATAGTCTTCGCAGCGTTTTTTTCTCTGTTGAAGAAATGCATTTTTAGAAAAGCAATCAAATGATAAAAAAGCTGCTGAGACTATCAAAATGTTGATATAATAATATTTTGATGTTTAAATTATCCGTTTAAAAGCAACTTTTTTCCAAAGCCTACCATGAATTCACTGAGGTGTCGTTTCTTGTCCACCGTCATTGGTATCTTAATTATTTGATATTAATACACCTAGTATTATGGTTTTCTGGTTCATTGTCGATATTTTGAATAAAATAATATTTCTTATATTATTTTTTTTATTAATTTCTCTTAGCCTCTTTAGTTATAAATATTTTTTTCCGCAAGCCCTACGGCTAATACTTTCCGAGATACAGTCGAGAGCTATTCTTATTGGGACACCCTGTACTTACCCCATGCAATTTAGCTTTGAAATAGACAAAATAAGAATCTACCTGGTAAAATGACCCTATAAATTTAACTACCCTATTCAATTTCTGTAGGTAGACGCTACTTATCTCTAGACTCTAGACATATTTTATGTATAAAGCTCCGTCTAGACATGAAGTTGTTCCTGTCAGTTTTGCGCGTCAGGCAAAATGAAAGACCGTCTAGGAGACTGACAAATCGCTGCCGACAGTGCTGACAAGCTGGTTTCCGTTGGATTAACGCTGCAGAGTTTACGAAAATTAAAGATTTTATTTTGTTTTTGATTTTCTTAAAGTGGCGAAATACCCATAGATGACTTTTTAGTCGACCATACCAATAGGCCAATAGACCAATAGGCCAATAGACCAATAGGTATGGTAGGCTATTAAGATCGGCAAAAAAAGTTTTTTTTATTTCACTGAAAATGAGTTATTTGGGTCCTAAATGACCTAAATACAAAATATTTTCATGGTGTTTGTCTGTCTGTCTGTCTGTCTGTCCGTCTGTCCATCTGTCCGTCTGTAACACGATAACTCAAAAACCGCTCAACCGATTTTAACCAAATTTGGCACAAAAATACTGTGGCACCCGAGAATCTGGCCATTAGTTTTTGATGGGGGTGGGGGTTGGTAAGGGGAATGGGAGGGGGTTAAAATTTTAAAAAAATCGTAACTCCAAAGTTACAGAAGCTAGCGAAACGCGGTTTGCAATTTAAGATTAGGAATAATATTTGCAACAAAATTTATAATAACATCAAAATCAGTTAAAGTCGCAGTTTTTGAGATTAAAAAAAACTGGAAAAATTCCTTTACTTTGAAACTAAAAGAACTGCCTACCAACTTTTTATTAACATATTTTAGTATGTTTAGCGTTATTTTTTTGATGTGAACTTAATGTAAGAAATAACTCAAAATCAATTATGTACTCTTATTCCACAAATATCCATAAGGTTTTTTTTCACAGTATAATAGTTACTAGACGGTACGTCTATGTAAAATGGGCGAGTCACAACAAAAGTATCAAATTCCTTAGTTAAAACTGTGATAAAAGTATATTATTAATATAAAAATAGTAATAATAATTCATTGCGTCAATCCCAATTTATTTCATATACTAGGTAACATACCAAATCTCGTTTTTTTTTCTTATAGGGGTGGGCCACTTTTGGAGACGCAGAGAGTTATAAATGGTAAAATTTTTAGATATACACCCTGTATATTTATTCTCCGTTGTTTAAATAAATGAAATATTCTACTTGATGTCATTTTAATAAAATTTTATCAAACAATTCAGCTTAAAAAACTGGTTCTTTGTATGAGAACAAAGAGTATACAGAAAAGAACAAACAGTCCGTTTTTTAGACCGTTTTTTGCCGGATAGATGGCAAATATTTGACGAGCCAAATGTATAAATAATTCCAAAAATAGTCTAGTGAGGGGCCACGAGCCATATGGTTGACATGTACCTCACGCGAGTTGAGTTATTTTAAACCAAAATCGGCACGTGCCAGACGGGAATCTCTTTCATTCTTAAACGCATCGTTGTTTGAACACACATACCACTTTGTATTTATCTCCTAATTTTGTTCGTTCAAACAACTAAAAGTGGTGTAATTCTGCGTTATTTTATACGTCTAAATAGCGGTATATTTGAATAAAAAAACCTATTAAATGAAGTAAAAATAGTTGAAGAAGATATAGAAAGTGTTCAATGATGATTTCTTCCAGAGGACCTACTATTGTGAACGTTCCAGTGCACTCTAGAAGAGGACAGAGTGGATTGAAGTGTTGCTGTTGCAGATGTTGCACTTGTATTCATTTGGAGTTTCTGAAAACACCGCCTGGCATAATCAAACTTGCTGAATTGGTAAAATTGTACATTTTTTTTTAAATAAAAAAATATATATTTTTCAACATTCCTTAAAAAATTTATTACAAATACAAGAACTGTCCTAAAATCAAAACAATATTAGATATTTACTTTAGATGGCCCATACTTACTTTGCCATAAATATCGTAATCTTAAATCATACAGGGTGTTCAAAATTCTACTCCAAACTTTATAAAATATAAAATAATGTTTCTTTGTTTTTTTTTAAATGGAACATCCTGTATTTAATTTTTTTATTAGATGGAGAGTTAAAAATGAAATGTTTAGTATATATTTAAAATATTTCAAAATTTTTAATGGTTTCTTAAAATACGAGAGAAAAACCATTGGGTGGCTTTGATAAAAATATACAGTGGAAAATGCCATATGAAATATAAAACCGCGAATATCTGCGAAACAGTTAAAAATTTTGTAATACTCTAAATAAAAAAAAGGTTAAATTTTTAATTCTCTATTTATTGAAAAAAAAATATTTATAATATAAGAAAAACTATTTTGTATTTTAGAAAGAATTTTGAACACCCTGTATGATTTAAGATTACGATATTTATAGAAAAGTAATTATAGACCATCTAAAGTAAATACCTAAGATAGTTTTGATTTCAGGACTGTTTTTGTATTTTTAATATTTTTTTTAAGAAAGTAATACATTAATAATTTTTTTATTTATTAAAATCTCTGAAACTATCAAATATATTTACTCATATCTTAAGGTGCTATTACACGGCGTGTGGCTTGCCGATCCACGCGCCTTGCGCGCGAATCGCCGAGCCAGGACGCGCCAATGCGTATTTTCGCCTTGCGATCTCACGGCCGACCGATAGATAGAGAACAAAAAATACATTATATAAATTTTTACCATAGACTATCGGTTTAAATTGGGTTTAAATTCATACAATCAAATAATTTATTCCGCAACTTTATTTTCAGTGCAGTTTTTAAGATAACAAGATGGAAAGCAAAATCATCTGGTTAAATTAAATTAAACAAGATAATAATACTTTTTTAACTAGAGTTATTTATGTTCAAAAGTTAAATAATATTTTTTTGCCTTATTTATGAAAATATAATTTTAGAGTATATCATAGTTTCAGAAAGCCCATAACAAGGTAAATAATATAAAAAAATAATATACTGGGTGTCTCATTTAAAAAATAGAAGTCAGATTTCAAAAATGAGAACCATCAGCGAAACTAGTTAACATCACTGGATTCTACGTAAAAAACTAAACGAGACTGAGTTTTCACCTTTTCGATAAGTTATAAGATAACCGATATACGATGGAATCGAAAAATGCAACATTTTAAAATTCGTCCTGTATTTTAGGAACTAAAAAGACTAGAACAACTCTTCTTCTTTTTTAATTCTTTAATTAATTTTTTAATTCGTTCATGGTGCAATAATTATTGATACTCAACTTTTGACGTATTCTCAGGCAGCCGTCCTGCATTTCATTTCTATTTTTATGTGTATAATTTCTGGGGTTCCAAGTTAATTGTTCTTTTTCATATAGGGGTAAAAACTCAGATATAGTCTCGTTCGACCAAAACATGTTGTCTCGAAATATGTAAAATATCAATTATTCTTTGAATCTCCGTTTTTCGATAGATATGGTAGGTTACATAATCAAATGTATCACATACCTACTGTGTTCAAAGTAAACAATTTTTGTAGTACCGATTTATACCTGACCGGCTATAAATCAGTTCATTTGTGATTGAACTAATCGCACTGAGGGGTAAATTGGTACCTATAATATATTGTTATAATCATCGGCAATTACCACCGCTCAAATTACCGCCAATAAATTAGTAGGTATAGCTATACAAATTTTAAATAGCATAATTGCACAAAACTTTACGAATTAATATTTCTATAGCTGCTGTAAAATTTAGAAGTATAAATTAAGTATCAAATACAATTATTACACATATGTACATAAATCACCTCAGCAAAATTCATATAGTGCTTCTCACCCTTCTAGTAATAGTCAACATTTTTGACATGTTCTACACCCTTCGGGGTATTTGTATGTAACTTATATTATTATACCACAAATTAGGTAATTTGTGATTATACTTAGAACTAATAAACTATATCTATCTATACGAGTATATCATTTATACAGCATTTAGAATAAATAATAATTTTAAACAATAACATGGTAGATTATTTTGGTACACCCTGTATTTATCAGTAATTTGTATACCTAATTAATATGATATTTATAGATTTTTTAAACTAATATCAAATTATGTATGTTTGCATTAAATAGAGTTATATAAATAAATTATGTAACAAATAAAATTAACTGAATTTAAAAGAATTACTGGTGAAGACCTCGCACGGCGCGTTTACTTTGAAATTTACCACTAGTCGACGGGAAGAACGCGCCAACCGAAGATCGGCGCGCCGATCCGTATTTTTTGTTTCAGGCTCAGCGATCCACGCGCCGTGTAACTGCACTATACCCGGCCGTGGCCCGAATATCGGCCTGCCGACCCAATCACACGAAGCGCGGCGCGAAATTTTTTGATGCAGGCTCGGCGATCCACGCGCCGTGTAACGGCACCTTTAGGATGATACAAGTAATCTGAAAGGAAGCCAAAAAAATTTAAAAAATCATCCCAATCCATTCATACTTTTTTGAGACACTCTGTAGAACTTATTTCCTGAAACACATCCTAGTACATACTTTAGGTTTGCACTTAAACAAAATTCCCGTTTTTTTAGAAGCTACAGATAATATCCAGAAAATCGACTAATTGCTAACTTTTCATATGAAATACGAGTAGCTCTAAAACTCTTAAAAACATAGTTCAAATAGTGCATTTGTAAGGCTCACTAGCTCTGTCTAGAAAGAGTTAAACAATCATTTAAATCAATACATGAACTTATCTCTTATATGAATATATCTCTTATTTGTATACAGCGATGCTCAAGCACATTTTTATTTCTTTATTTAAGAATTATATTTTAAATTTTAATTTTTCTTTGATACACCTCATACAAATAAAATATTTTCTTAAAAAAATGTTTAAGTTCTTTATTATAGGTATAGGAGTTATAGATGTCCTAAGCACTGTTGCAGAGACCCATAGGAACACTGACAACTCTTTTTAAATTTTTTTAGATCATAGGATTTTTCTGTCAAAGCCTAGCATTAAAATATGGATCAGAATCATCGTCACTTATAGGAATTTCATTTCAATCCTTTGTAACCAACATTGCCTGGAGTCTTTCCACAACTTTCATGCTGCTTGTGTGTTATATTTTTTCACCAAAATCAGTAGGGCTCATCAAATCTTCCTTATTTGTAAGTACTTATACAAAAATAATATCTTTTTACAAAACTAACATTCGTGTATAAAAGTTAACTCCTTTTTGATGTACATTTGTAATTTTAGGAGGTTCTATTTAACACCGTGTCTGCCTTTACATATATTAGTACTTGTTCTTATCTGGGTTACGTGGTAAACATAGTACTGGAACCGCTGTATTGGATAACACCTCATTACCAAGCGTACCCTGCTATGAGTGCTGCATATGTAAGTAAAAAAATCGTTTATATCTTTATAAATGTTTATATATATTTGATACCAATTAAACTTTCAGTTACGGAATCGAGGGCGCGAATTTTAAGGAATTTAAATTTCCCGCTGGGGATTCAGGTGGTAGCTCTGTTGTAAAAAAATGTTAAGATGCCACATTTATTTATTTATTTCCTGACATTGTCATTCGTTTTGACACTGTAGTTTTGTATTACGAGTTTTTGGTTTAAATAAATTGTGTTGTGATGCCTTAAGCTTACCAATTTTTACTAGCAGACCTTGCAGTCAAAAATTGTTCTTTTTAGAGTGCTTGTAGATACCGAAGCAGTTTAACAGCCGTTGCAAAAAACTCATCGCAACCTTATTAGAATATTTTGAACGGGAAAGCGGTAGTAATGGCCCTTTATGTCCCTTAAGTGCTGTTCAGGACGTGAGTTTTGTTGATGAAAATAATAATTGTTTCTATATTTTTTATAATTAATTTATTTCTGAGTCCTAAAATATTTTGATTTAACGGAAAATATGTAAAAGTGGGCAAAGCTGTGCCGGTCAAGCTTAATCACGTGACTAAAAATTTATTTGGTATGATTATATTTATGCTTGCTGCTATATTTTTTTAATTTTATATTACATTCGTGTTTTAGTTATCCATGTAAGAAATATTTTTACATAGATAAAATGTTCTATAAATCACTTATACATAATGAAATAAATAACAATTATTCTGTTATAACCGTATATTATTTGGGTGATATAATTTCTATAGATATGGTATATTTTTAGGTAGCTGGCTCAATTTTAGGACTACTATACGCATATGACGCTTACAAATCATATAGATACTTTAGGGGATACAGATACTAAAATTTTTAGTACATTATATTTCTTGTTTTTATATTTTTGTACTTTTTCTAGTCAGAATACAATTTTTTATTTTATTTTCTAATTAAGTATCTATTAATTCTATTATAATTTGTATTAAAATTAGAAAGATAAGTATTTAGTACCTATTTATGTATATGACGTTACAGATATTAATAAAAGACAATGTTTTACAAAGAAAAACTGTTTTTTATTTCAAAGTAACAAAATATATAGTTAAAATCTTGCAATAGTTCGCTAACACTGAAGGCACATAGAGAATTGTTATACATGGCAGCCATATAAGGAGTTTTATAAAAAACTATTTTATCTATTCTGTCACAACTGTGTAAAGCTCTAGCAACATTACTTTATATTTATAAAGTTTTCTAAAATAAATTATTAGGTATATTATTTGTGATTTTTTTATATATCGTTTTCTTTTAAATTTAAGTACAAATCACAAAAAAAAATGTCAAAATATGTTCACAAGAGTATATCAAAAAACATATAAGTGTATATAAACATGAGTAATAATAATTTATACGGTAGTTATTATAAAATATCATTGTTTTAAAAACATATTACTTGTTTGTGGTGTTTTTTTATAGTTTAATATTTTAATAAATTATGTATTATTTTTTTGCAACAAATAAAGCCCTAGCAATATTACATTATTTTCTTATTATACAGGGTCTTTCTTAAATAAGTGCAATTATTTTATGTAGTGTTACGTAGGGACAAAAGAAACATATTTTCTGTTTGATAGTTTTAAAATAAATTGAAAATAACCGAGTTTTTTTATTTTTTGAAATTCTAAAGAAATAATGCTCACATTTTGAGAACCGCCGATATCAACCTCATTATTCGACGCCCTGTGTTGCCACATGTACAGAAAGTATACTGTTTACTTCTTGATTGAGAATACTTCACAATATGGCGATTACAGAATCTGCAATAGTGATTAAGTTTATTCTTTCAGTTTCAGAATTAACCTGTGACCCCAAAAAGTTTGATTTTATAATTTCCCGGAAAATATCAAGAAAAAAGAACAATTTTCAACGATTTTTTTACAAAAAAATCTGTTAAAAAACCTGCACTTATTATAGAGATACCTTTTTTAAGTATTTTCATTAATAAATTATATTATTTGTGCTTTTAAACTTCAAAAAAAAAATGTTTAAATAGATATTCACCAAAAAGATTCAACAAATTTACAAATATCAATAAAAAAGTCATTGAATACATTTATAACAGTACAGAAATATTAGGTAGAGTATATTATTGAAAAAATAAGTTTTTTCGTGTGGTGTATAAGTTAATTCGTAATATTATCTTCTATTCAAGTCTTGTTGTCTGTTTAGCAATAAATTAATTTAAGTAAAAATAAAACAAAGTTGGGCAGAAGTTATTTAGAGTCCCCTGTAGGTTCTTAGTGCGAAAATCGTGCTGCCCAAGTACAGAGCTGCATTGACCAATCCCAAAATCTAGAAAAAAAAAAGATATTAAATAAAAAGACTACGAGAAGAATAAAATATTATTTTCATATTAATACGCAAACCATACCTACGACTACAAGCCCTAACAACTATATGCTGGGACAAGATCTTTTTTTTTGCAATAAAAATAGTAATTTGTTAAAACGACTCAATTTATTTTGTTTATTATTCTAAATTCAAACATTACAATATTATCTAGACAATTTTACTATATTTTTATAACTTTGCAAACAAATCACTTTTGATAATACCTTATTTTGTCAAAATCAAGCCAAATTTGCTGACAACTATATATTGGGACAGCACAACAAGAAATTTGTTTAATACGGAGTTACATCACCTTTCGCCTTAACAACTGCCTGAATTCTTAATGGCATTGTATTTACCAAAGACTAGCACATTTGAGGAGAAAAATTATCCCAAATTTCCTGCAGTTTTGTCCGCAAATCAAAAATTGTTCGTTGAGTGTGATTTCTTAAATATTGATCATTTTATGCCACACAGTTTCTATAACGTTGAGGTCCGGACTACTTGCAGGATGGGATAGAACTTTCATATTATTATTACCGAACCAATTTTTAGTTGATTTTGCTGAATGGCACAATGCTCCATCTTGTTGGAAAATATAGTCTTCGTTTGGAAACAATTCTTGCGCACTAGGCAAAAGTGAGGTCTCAAGTATATGTTGATATTTTTGGGCGTTAACAGTGCCATCTATAAAATTTAATTTGCCCAAACCTCTTGCTGACATGCAGTCCCAAACCATAATCCCCTTAGGAAATTTAACAACCTTCTTTAAGCAATCTTTATGAAAGACTTCTGCTTTATTTCGTATTATTCCTTTTCGATGATCTCCAACGCAAACTGTTTTCTTCGGTTTGTTGTTTTCTGTCGGTTTTCTTTGGCCTAAATAAGAATTGGTATCAATAATCTTCAGATAATTGATTATCCACACAAAATAAAGTTTAACTTGTAAAACCCCAGACCGCATCTACGGATATATTTTCGGCAACATTCTCTTGATATATTTAAACCAGTTACAGTATTCCATTTAATTGTTACTTCGCGAAGAGTACTTCTTCTCACAGACTTGCAAATTTTAACTAAATTTCGTAAATCTCTCTGAGATACAACTTTTGGCCTTCCCGAACTTTTACCCCTAACGTCTACATTGGCAGATTCGCCGTATTTTTTTATTATATTAAAAACCGTGGTTTTTGGAATACTTAAATCATCAAAAATTTTTCGAATTGTTTTTCCCGTACTGTATTGACGAATGATAATTTTGCGTAGTTTTTGATTTGTAGCTTTTCCACGGACCATTACTTTGAATCAAATTAACAAAATTGAAAATTAAACAAATTAAAATTACTTACAGTAAATCTCACTACTCAAAGTATCGAGTCACTTACAAGCTGTCAATGCTGAAGTAAACAGTTTGCGACATTTGTGACGTTTATAGCAAAGCCGCCTATGATGATATTAATTATTTAAAAATACTTGTCCCAACATTTATTTGTTAGCAAATTTGTCCCTTTATGAACAAAATCCGCTACTGTAAATATGGATTGATTTACAAATTCATAAAAATATTGTCAAGTTGTTTAGGATATATGGCTATGTTTATATTTAAAAAATTAAACATATATTTTTCAGTCATTTTGAAAAACCAGGGCAATAATTCCAAAATATGACCTTGTCCCAACATATAGTTGTTAGGGCTCGTACAACCTCTTTTTCTCAGATTTGTTGTGATATTGTTGTGAAAAATAATATACAGTGTGTGCACTATTTGAAGTGAAACTTCTTACTAACAGCTATTAAATTGAAGGATTTGTATGGCGCAGATCGTTACCCAGAGCGAATTCAATTGTTTTACAAAGAGGTAGATCTACCCCGAATGTGGCAGCTGTGACAACACTGCCGTTACCACTTTTCCTGACGCTAGCTCGTGTGTCACGGCCTTGAATTTTTACTTCCAACGCGCGTAAAGAAGTTTTACTTCAAAAATATGAGATAGGTTTTCGGTTTGAGTTTCTGGGTAGACTTATATTAAATTTAAAGAGTACTTACTGCCGCAGCTAAATAGGCATCGTAGTCATAGTAGTAAGAATTTTTCTTTTGATTCACGTAAACGACGAATGTCAATCCTGCGGCAAGTAGAAACAAGAATGCAAATCCGTGGTATATTACTTCCTGAAAAAGAGAAAAACATATATAATAATTCTGAATTTGTTAAAGCATTCTACTAAAAAAAATAACGTTTAAAGGGGGGCTTACACTTTAAATTAAACTGTGCAAACTGGTTTGCGCAAGATGTTTTGTACAAACTTTATGCATATCTAGATTGTAGTTATTGTATATTGTATGGGATCCAACAGCAGCAATAGAGGTCATTCTAGACCTAACACCACTGCACATTGTCGTCGGTAGTTATGCCAATGCGACTATGATTAGAATGGTCATTGACGGAACCAGTACTGGGAACATTTTCAGGTCAGGTGCTTGGAACACCCTCAAAAAGAAAATTCCACTTCTCCAACTCGCAGTGGATGACATACCAAGAATTTACAACTTTAAGAAACACCTCACTGTAGTATTGAGTAATAAAAAGGATTGGAAGAAAGAAACGCTTACTCAGTATATAAAAGGTCATACCATCACGTGGTATACTGATGCTTACAAAACCAACGCAGGGACAGGAATATGAGTATTTGGGCCGAAAACTAAATACTCCGAACCAATGGGCACTTACCCCAGTATCCTTCAGGCAGAAATTTACGCTATCGAAAGATGCGTACAATTTATCTTAGATAGGAACTATCGAAAACAGGAAATTGCCATCCTATCCGATAATCAAGCAGCACTTAACGCGATCAACTCAGTAACCATCAATTCGAAGTTGGTCAAAGAATGCCTAGAGAAGCTCAACAAATTAGGCAAAGAAAATAAAGTCCTCCTACTCTGGGTGCCTGCTCACCAAGGGATAGAAGGCAATGAAAAAGCAAATGATCTAGCTAGAAAAGGATCGAACACTCCACTAACTGGACCAGAACCGTTCTGTTTTCCAAACGGGAACCAACTGAAAGCGGAATTGAAGAATCTGGAAGACTCCATCCGTAACTTGGAATGGTTGTCCTCCATGATTTAAGTAAAAACAATCTTCGGATTGTCACGGGGTTTCTAACAGGACACTGTCTCCTCAACGAACACCTCAGTAGGCTGAAACTGAGAAACAACGGCGAATGCAGATTTTGTGGGGAAAATGGGGACACACCAGAACACCTTATCACCGAGTGCGCCGAGACGACGACCATTCGTGCCATGAACCTTGGTACGTCTGATGTCGAGGATGGAGAGATGGCCTCTGTGGAGCCGTCTCAAATACTGGCTTGTGTTAAAGCCCTGAGACTGTATGATGAGTTATAACTCATTATAACTCAAGAAAGGGGAACACACAATAGATCTGTAAGGTCGCGGTGATTAACTTCCCTCCTAAACATTCTACATTGTAGATATCGTATGGGAGGGTTTTTTGAGTTATAACTTATCATACAGTCTCAGGGCTTTGACAAAAGCCATTATCTGAGACGGTTTTACAGATGTTAGTTCTCCATCTCCGATCAGTCGTACCAAACATAGTTTCAAAATTTCTAAAAAAATCTATATTTAATCTAATGGGAAAAGATGGGACAAGATTATTGATATCAATTTTTGCGTCCTGTCTCACACAAATTGATTGTTTCCTTGGACAATAACGTGAAAATAGATAAGAAATGTTTATTAAATCCTTGTTTATATGCATAAATGTCAAAAAACAACAGCATTATGAAATAAATAGCATCGGAACGGATCGATTAGTCGATGATGCGGGATAAAAAGAATTTCCCAAGGAGACCCGAACGCTATTTTTATATGCCAATTACGAAAATGATGATCACCAGCTCGTATTTCTCCACGCAGAGTAGTAATAAAAATAATTTACGAGTAATGAACCTTGACTTTCTGTCAATAACATCGTCTCTAGTTTACCAGGGTTGTACTGAAACTATATTACTTGTATAAACGATTTTGTTATTTTTTGCGTGTATTTTTTTATTTAAATCCACTTACGACTTTATACAGGGTGGTCCGAACTGCATTTCGGAAACTTCGGCAGCATATTCTGCAGATAAAAATAAGTAAAAAAGTTCGTAAAAACATATGTCGTAAAAGACTTAGTTTTGGAGATACAGGGTGTAGAAGTTTCATTTTTCTTTTGAGATTTTTTCCTATAATAATTTTTGTAGTAACGTTAATATTTGGATGAAAATTAGTGTCTGGAAGTTTTTTGACATGAGAAATTTAATTTTGATGTCAATATGACTCCTATTTGTAGAGGGCGCCACCTACATGTGTTTTAACTGTTTTGAAGAGTAATAACTTTTCGTCCATAGGTTACAGATGGACTCTTCCAAGTTTTCCTAGCTTTTCTACAGATGCTTAAAGTTTTCCATCTACTGTTCACCATAGACAGCATGTAGAGGTACCTAAATGTCTTTTTTTAACGGTATTGAGGGGAGTAAAAACTTTTATTATGGTACGACATTATATTCAAACTTACATATATCGTTTTGGGTAATATTGAAGCTGTAGCTATGGACAGTAAACAGGAAAGTAGTAGGAAGAACGTTCCAGCCATGAAAATAGTTGCCACAATAAGGAAGAACAGTTCTGGAGTCTGGATCATGTTCTGGTACTTCTGGATGTAGTAGGAGACCATTCCCACGGTAACTATGCCCAAGATCTGAAAAAAAAAACAGTTTAAAAACATTAAAAACCTTATAACATTTTTTTTAGAACTGATAAGTCGAATTTATATTATCTTTGTTCTTGTTTATTGTGATTTAAAAGTGACATAAGTAAATGGAAGAGTCACAAAGTGGTAAAAAACATCACCTGGACATTTTCAAGCATGGTTATTTTTGTATTTCGAAGGAAAAGATTCAAGAATCACGGGAATAACAAAATCTACCGATTTCCACTATCCGAAGTGACTAAAAAATCTACTATGAGTTTTGGTCGCTCCCAAATAGTGTTTTGAATAAGAGTTTTTTTAGGGTTTGCATTTAGTTATTCAGTTAGCATTTTCTACCTTTTCGTATAGCCACCCCCACCAGGAAAAGAGCATACATAATACCTTTTTTTTCGCACATCTAATTTTCACAATAAAATTCACAGTCCCCGAATTTAGCATCTTTGGGATTTTTTTTTACTTCTTGCATCTTGGAAAACTATATTTTTTTTATTAAAAATCCAATTCGAGCTTTTGAACAATAATAATTATTATTAAATATTACTCATGTTTTTTTTATTTAAATTGCTTTGTTTTGTATTATTATTATTTTAAAAAGAATAATTTAATTGTGTAATATTACAACCTGTCCATCTTATAAGGTATACAAGTTTTGCATACAATTTTGATTAAAATTGTTAAAACGCAAATAATCCTCTTAGAGAAAATGAAAGAATGCCTTGTAAATTTTGGGTCAAGATCAACCTGCTTCATTTGTTGGAAGGGTCATACGTTATACAACATTTTCAACTTGTTAATAAACTGTTTTTCTTTTTCATTATAAGAGAAAAATGATCAATATTTTTTTAAAAATTTTAGGGTATTAAGTTTTATAAATATTCTATTATACAGGGGTACCTTATTTAACGCGGTTATTACACAGCTTGAAATGGAAACCGTGTATATTGAATCAAACTTTTTATTATATAAAACTATACAGAGTGAATTTTAAATAAGTGAAAATATTTTTAAGGTGGTATACAGGTCATTCGCCTCGGTTGATTATACGAAAACGGAAAGATGTAGAAACAAAATATTTTATGGGTATATGTGGGGAGACAATGTGCACAATTTAAAATTATTTTGAAATATACAGGGTGTTTCAGAACTAAGATCCATACCAAAGTTATATTTTTTCTTATGGTTAACACCCGGTATTTTATTTCATTTTTTAGATTCTACGATTGAAATAAAGGTAAATTTGACTAAGGTTTATCACACTTAAACCTTACCGTTTTGAAATATTTTCAATATTATGAAATTGCACTAAAAATTTTAAGGCTTTATTTCTCCAAGGGTATCAAAGTTTTTAATACTAAATATTTACTGAAGATTATTTATTGATCATATATTGTGTTGCTATAATAAAAATTTTACTATCTTATACAGAGTGTTCAAAATTTATATTAAATAATTACTAACTTTAAACAGCAATAACTTGTTTAATTTAAATGGAACACCCTATATATTTTACATGAATCACATGCACAATGTAATTGTCTATCAAATTGTATTATACCATTTATTACCTATCTCTTCAAGTTTTTTGTAAAAATGCATTTTCTTATAATTTAGACCTCATTTATCACTATACCCATGAAATATTGACATTTTAGATTATTTTTAAAAGATGTAACAAATTTTCAAAGAGTACAGATACTAATATTGTCGATATAGTTCGCTTATTTCATTAAAAAAATGAAAAAAACTGTTTAAATATTTTTTTGTTAACAATGACCAATTAATATGATCCCAACATTCAAACTACATTAATTGACTGTTTACGTTGATTAATAATATTTGCTCCAAATACTCAAAACTGAATTTTGTGTGTGTATTAGACAGTGTGGTAAAAGTAACACTTTATACATTTTATTTCATTTTTGACGAATGCTTATTTATAAAAACAGAAACGTTCATCTTCATAACTTATTATTATATTGATTCTGGAGCCCAATTCACACACACATTTATATTTAGAATACTTTATTAATTAACTAAAACTAATTTTTGGTCGGAAATAATGGATATGTATATTTAATTGGTATACTCTTTCACAAAGATTTAAATAGTTTTTTTTGTATACCAATGGGCTTGCAATACATTTTGTACATATATGTTGCTTTAAAAAAATCTGAAATGTCAATATTCCACGGGTATAGTGTCTAAATAAATAAAAAAATAAATGAGGTCTAAATTATAAGAAAATGCATTTTCTACGAAAACTTGAAGAGATGGGTAAAAATGGACAATTTGATAGACAATTATATTCTGCATCTGATTCACCTAAAATATATAGGGTGTTCTATTTAAATTAAACAAGTTATTGCCGTTTAAAGCTAGTAATTATTTAATATCCATTTTTGGACACTCTGTATAAGGTAGTAAATTTTTTATTATTGCAACACAATATCTGATCAATAAATAATCGTCAGTAAATATTTAGTATTAAAAACTTTGATACCCTTGGAGAAATGAAGCCTTAAAATTTTTACTGCAATTTCATATAATTGAAAATATTTAAAAAACGGTAAGGTTTAAGTGTGATAAACCTTAATCAAATTTACCTTTATTTCAATCGTAGAATCCAAAAATAGAATAATATACAGGGTGTTCCATTTAAAAAAATACAACTATAATATTTTTTACTTATTTGGTACACTCTGTATCTTGTAAAACTATTTTTAAATTGTAGCTCTAATAGTCTTTCAACGAACCCAAAACTTACAATTTATAAAAATCTAATCGTTTAGCTACAATATTCCGTGTCGTATGTGGTGAATAACCCTGTAGATTTGTGGGTCTGGAAACGTTCTATCCTTTTTTAATCTTTCTAGTGTTCATTTTTGACGAGTTTATGTCAATCTTTTGTAAATGACGTCTATAGAGATTGACCTCGGAAAATAATCAACGATTGTTATTCAAGCCCAGCCTTCTTTGACGCCGTTTTTTCGATCATACGGTACTATACTTATAAAATTCTCACCACACCAAGTGGAATAACAATAATAATATTAATAAATGTATCAAAGGTTTTAATACATTTATTATTAGGACTAAATTGTCTATTATTCATCCACTTATAAGATGTAAATAATAATATTACAAAAGGTTAATGTAAATTACATTAATTTCGTTTCTTATAACTTTAATTTCCTGTTATGTTTTGATTCTAATGTAATTCTAATGAATCATAGAAAAATATGCAAATATTAAGTCACGTAAATAGTAAATAATGTACTCAAGCTTATTTTTAGTCCATGTATGTGTATAATATGAATAAAATTGCTGTATTTTTTTTTAATATCATTGTATAAGCTTTAAAAGCATTTAACTATATTAAATTTTGCACTATTATACTATTTTTTGTGAAAAAAAAACATAAAAAAAGCAGGGGCAGTTTAAAAACTCTAAAAAAAAAAATCATTCAACACTTACATTTGAATTCTGTTAAATGAAACTCGATATCCTAGGCTTGATTTTTCTGTATAAAATACGAAACCAACATTCACCGCGTTCTGTCAGACTCCGAAAATAACAAATCCTGCGAGCACGATTGCGTCGTTTTGTGTGAATCAGAGTAGGCGATCGATGCGACTACTCCTGCTTATTACAATACTACCCGCTACCTACTACAGCCAGTTAAAACTAACCAGGCCGCCGGTTAAAGTTAAACAAACCGGACACGATGACCCTGAGGATGGGCACAGAACCATGGACGAAACGTCAAAAGAAGGGGCGCGGTCGAGAGCCTCCATGACCTGTTTTCAGGTAAAGGGGTCAACCTGATGTAGTCTTGGTATAGGTCAAACGTGTCTTGGATCTTTAATTTTTAAATGCCCCCTCAGCTGAAGTTTAGGTTTGAGTGGGAATACACGTTATATTTGATATCAGGGATTTTTTAATCTGATTTTCGGATGGAATGGATAATAAATAATTAGTTAGAGAGAAATTAAGGGCTTTAAGCCCTTATGAGATAAAACCTCGGAATTCATTTACTGTGAACGAATTTTATAAAACTTTTTGCATTGTATTGTTAATAAGATATATTACAAAGTTTACTTATTTAAATTCGTTGCTTTCACTTTAGTATTTAAATAAATACACACATATACAAACGCATACATACAAGATGGCTCCGTTTTCGGAAAAGCTCTGTATCAGGATTCCTATTTGAGATTTTCACTCCAAACCTTTTACAAAATATATGTTTAATAGTAGTTCACATTTAAAAAAATATTTTTATAGATATACAGGGTGAGTCAAATATATAATAGAATTTGCTATAAAATTCTGGTTCCAAAAATACCTTAATACTAGCGATGGGAACTATCGAGATGAATTAGACTATCGAATGGTTTACTGAATGAATGATTTCAACTGTCGAATGGTTTTATTCGAATAAAATCATTCATTCATTTGTATCCGATCTTTCAATTATTTAATTTTTATATGGTATATTATGGTTAGGTTAGATTGCATTTTTTTAATGGGAAATTTTGAGAAGTAGCAATTTTTAAGAAAGATGATATGAACTTACAATTAATTTTAAAAAAAATACATATTTGTATTTTAGATGTTTTAATAATATGAATTAGTTGAACTTAATAATCATATTTAAGTAATGTGGTTAAGTAAATGGGGGTTATCGAACTCAAATTTTGGGGTGAGGAAATTAAATTGAAAGTTTTACGTGCCAATTTAAAAAAAAAGTTAACAATGTTTGTATTTGTTTATTCTAATTCTCTTACATGTAGTTTTTTGCGAAGAAATATTTTATTTATTTTTTAAAGTAAATGCCAGTAAAAGTAAATATTATTTTTAAATAGTAATATAAAGTACCTAATATAAATAATTTTGATTTCTAATTTTTTATTTATATTTTCCTTCCATTACACTGCATGCTTAGAAAATTAATAAATGTTTATATATCATGATTTTAAAGTTTGTTGTTAATATAACAAATTAGTTCTGTAATTATTATTATTTTTAAATAGGATCTAATATAAATAATTTTGACATCTAATTTGTTGTTTATATTTTGCTACTACGTAAAAAAATGTTTATATTAAATTATTTTAAATTTTGTTGTTAATAGGTATAACAAATTATTACTGTTATTATTATTTTTATTAAACCAGTCTTTGTATAAAAACATTAAAAATCATTTTCCTACATCCAAAATATTTTATTATCTAACCTAACCTAACAAAGAATATTAATAAAAAAATGCAAAATATATAGACATTCTATCCCTAACTAACTAAAGCCAAACAATAATATTGTTTGCTAATATCAACTAATACCAATATATGGCAACAGCGCCCTTCATAATGTATTTTCTGTGTAAATACTAGCACCTCAATAAAAAAAAAAAATGTGTCCTTATTTTTATATGACTCCGCAAAATATCAAAGATGCCCGCTTCTTTCTAGCATTGCCACCGACCGCTGTCGGGTTTCTAGGAAAGAAACCTACGTCGCCGTGTATAATTATTATTATTTAATAAACCAACGTTGCCATTTAGAGACTATATTATTTTTAAATAGGATCTAATATAAATGCTGACTTCTATTTGTTGTTTATATTTTGCTACTACTTAAAAAAAATGTTTATATTATTAAATGATTTTAAATTTTGTTGTTAATAGGTATAACAAATTATTACTGTTATTATTATTTATTAAACCAGTCTTTGCTTAAAAACATTAAAAATAATTTTCCTACATCCAAAATAAAAAAATATTATTGCAGTGTAACAACAGAATATTAATAAAAAAATGCAAAACATATAGACATACTATCCCTAACTAACAAACAAGGCTAATGCTAAAGAATAATATTCTTTGCTAATACCAACTAATACGAATATATGGCAACAGCGCCCTTCATAATGTATTTTCTGTGTAAATACTAGCACCTCAATAAAAAAAATAATGTGTCCTTATCTTTATTTGACTCCGCAAAAAATCAAAGATGCCGGCTTCTTCCATAGCATTGCCACCGACCGCTGTCGAGTTTCTAGGAAAGAAACCTACGTCGCCGGACGACAACTAAAATCCAGTTTATATTTTATTAAAATCGATCCTGGCGAATAAATGAATTTGATAAATGAATGGTTTTTGCTGCCGAATTACTAGAATACAACATTTCAAGGCAGATGACGCATCTATTCGATAATTTTTATTCGAATAGTTTTTGACGAATGTTTTCTGACTAGCTATCGAATTATTCGAATGAATTGCAACTATCGAATGTTTCGATAGTATTCATTCGATAGTTCCCACTACTACTTAATACCATAGAGTATATTAAATGGTCTTTGAATTATGACCACGTCCATGAGGACGTCAATATAGACGTCCAGGAACCTTCGTATGAGAACTTCTAATCGAGACGATCGGCTTATTGTAAGTTTATCGCTAAGAAACCGCCGTTTGCCAGCTTTTCAAACTGATAATGAATTGCACTTAAGAACTGTACATATTAACTAACGGACTACAAGAAGAAGATTAAATGAAGCAAATCTTATGTCAAGAAGGCCTGCTTCGGGACCAGAACTTACGAGATGTGTTGACTAGGCCCAAAAGCAAAGGCATGATCTTAATGGGACTTAAAAGGACCTCGACAAGTGCCTGATATGGATCCCACCAACCTATCAGAACTATGGTAGATTTACTGGAGCAGTCATTGCCACAGCTAAAAAACACATCCCCAGGGGTTACCGCAGGGAATACATACCTGGATGGTCTGAAGAGAGCGAAACCAAATACCTGGAGAGCGGTGAAACAGAGATAGGAGAGGAGCTGCTGTGTACATTGGATGCTGCCCGCCGGGAAAAATGGATTAGAACAACAGAAAATACCAATTTCAAACATTCAAGTAGAAAAGCGCGGTCTCTACTTAAGAAACTAGGGGAGAGCCCACCTATAACCAGAAACTTACCATCCGTTACTCCAAATCAGGTTGCAGATCATATAGTATCCTCCTCCAGAGCTCCTAAGGACCGTGATCACACCAAAATGATAAAGCAAGAACTCAAAAGTCTGAAAGCAACATGCCAGAACATATCAAACTATTCCCAACCTTTTTCCCCTGACGAGGTGTCCAATGCACTTAAATCCCTAAAGTGCGGGAAAGCTCCCGTTTTGACGGCATCCACAACGAATTCCTCACTAGGTTAAGTCCGTTTGCCAGAGGTCGGCTGGCTAAGTTCTTCTCTAACATATTGCTAACCGGCAACATCCCCAAGGAATTTAAGGAGACAAAAATCATCTCCATTCTAAAGCCTGGGAAACCCGCAGACCAAGCTAACAGCTACCGACCAATTGCTCTTCTTAGTGCCTGTTACAAGCTACTGGAACGCCTAATTCTCAACAGAATCGAAGATAAAATATCCGTATTGAGCAAGCAGGTTTGAGAAGAGGTTGTAGCTGTACTGATCAAGTCCTCAACCTTACAACTTATATTGAGGCAGGCTTTCAGAAACAACTAAAAACATCGGCAGTATTCGTGGACCTATCAGCTGCCTATGATACGGTATGGAGAGAGGGACTACTGAATAAATTCCTAAAACTTATTCCCTGCAGAACACTTAGTTCTCTCCTAAATAATATGTTATGCGATAGGTTCTTTCGTGTAGTAATGGACCAGAGATACAGCAACAAAAGATCATTAAAAAATGGATTGCCTCAGGGACCTGTACTCGCACAGGCTAAAAAAAAAAAGAAAAAAAATTAAATTTTTTTTTTAATTTTTTTTTTATTTTTTTTGGATCGTGCACATTTGATTCATAAGATTTTTGTTTTTTTTTCATTTCTACATTGACATATATGGTTGCCATATACCACATCTCTTTCTTTTCTGGTATTGATTATTCAATTTTCTCTCTTCTATAAGTAAGAGATTCAGAATCGGAGTTACTCTTCGGAGAAAAATCAATGTCTCGATGGTCTTCATCACACTTAAACTTCTTTAAGTTCATCAAAGTCCCAGTGAGGCACACTTTTTAGACTACCCACCATGCTAATAATGAAACATTCTTGGCGTGGTGGTGCCACACAGACCCCAATGAAACTTTAGCCCCCGCGCTGGTAGGAACAATACTTGATAAAATCAAGTACGCCTTTAACAGTTGTATATTGGTAGCCTAACTTAAAGGTAAATCAAGGTAAACGTAAACATTTTTCACAGGTTTAAATAGTGCTTGGGGTCCGCTGGACCCCACCACGCCAGTTGGGGGTTAAAGAATATTCTATGTTTTATCTGACCATACTATACATAAATCACCAGCAAAAAGTTTAAAAGAGTCAATAAAAAATATGGAGAAATTCTCTTGGTAATGTGGAGATTTATTGAAAACTGCGTTTTCGCAGATATTTGCAAATATCTGGCACAAGACCAATCCAAACACAACCGTTTTAAAATTAAACCGCTCTAATTTTGAAAAATAATAAAAACCGATTGGCATTCAAACTGACAAATATCTAGGAAAATAAAATTTATTATCTTTATTTTTTATTTGGTCAAAATAAATGGAAGATTAAAATGAATCTGGAACAGATGCTCCTAGATGAGAAAAAAATAAGTGACATATTTTTTTTCTATTTTGAAGTGTGCCCTTACTACTTTGTAATCTTATAAAACAAATGTTTGTGTTTTTTTCTGATATTTTCTTCTAAATGAACACGTGCCTATGTAACAAAATACTGGTAATTGTGGTTAATAGAACATGTGTTATTGTTTAGGTTAAAAAATATTGTTTAATAAATATGGCGAATGCGCCAGGATATCATAGCACTCCCAGAAAATTAAGTAAACATAGAGTTATTTTTTCAAAAGCTTTATTTTTAAAGATATGTATATAGATGGTATAAGTACCTACAATGTAAGGTCTGTTCAATGAGTGAGGAAATTTACCTGTGACTTTAAATGACAGACACACCTATCACTGTCAGGTGTCTGTCAACAATCATAAAAATAATAAAAATATTCGTTTTTTTTTCCAAAAATCTTGGGAAGTAGGTATTTTTAAACTTTTTATTTCGTACTGATTTAGTATAACCTTATTAGTCTGATTCACATGTACGATTTATAGTTAAATTTTTTAATATTCTCCGAAAATTACTAATGTGAATTTGAACCTATTTTAGAAAGTTTATGGAAAAGTCCACACCCTGTACCTTAAATTGATAACAACAAGAATGATTAGTAATAATTCCAATACAAAATAGAGGTACGAAATAAAACAACATAATAAAAAATAAAAATTTAACATTAGATCCTTAACAATAAATAAAAAGAAAGTGATATAAGAATTTTTTATACTCAAAAATATCAAATATAAATTAAAAAGATTCAAGTATTAACTCTCTAATTATATTAGAATATACAAAACAACAAGATAATAATAATTATTGCAAAATATCATCAGAACTGTACAAAAAAAATATAGGTACTTTAGTATTTTTTAATGATTGTATAAATTTGCTATGAAATTTCTATTAATTTGACACTACAGCATAATTCTTTTTAATTAAATATATTATACAGGATGTTCAAAGATATTGGGACACAATATCGAATAGATAAATAATTTAAATTTATCAGAAATGTTTAACAGAGCTTGTAAAAAATAAGGTCACTTTTTATGAATCACCCTGTTTGTGTATATAGTTATACACCTTTTCTTTTAGTAACATCACAAACAAGAGAGTGGAGTACTTATATATTAAAAAAAATAATAATTACATTGAGACATGAGATTCTAATAATATTTTTTGTGAAATAATGTTTTTAAAACAGCCATTTGTGATAATAATAAAACCTTTTGTGTGTCGTTTACAATATAAATATAATTATGTTCCTAAAATATGTTAAACAATAAAATAATAAATATAACAATAATATCCAAGATATGAGAAAGATATTTTTAACTTTATTTTACAACCTATATAAAAATGTCTATATTATTCAACTGAACGTAGTTTGTATCGATAAAATGTTAAAATAAAAAATTATGGAACAACCTTACGAACTAAGTTGCATTAATTCAGTACTATAACAAGATATACAGTGTGTCGCATTTTTAAAAATAATTTAAAGAGAATCAGGTAGAAATTTCAGTTTGTTCTTGTTCCTTTCCATTCGTTGTGTAGAAGGTAGGTGGCAAAGGCGTAGACTAGAGCATTAAAAATACCAAAAACCTAAAAAATAAACAAAAAATTGATAAGTAATAAATTAAAAATCAATTTGAATTTTTCTTTCTTGGATTCACCCTTAAAGCTACCTTTGTACGTGTTTGGAATTTGGAAGTAACTATAATTATGTGAGGGTAAAAGTTACTATTGTGCGACATACACTATCGGACAAAAGTAGAGCAACAAAGCTCATTTTTATTCATGTTTGAATAAAAAAATTATTAGGTTGTGATTTTCGGCTATGTTTACTAACACACTATCCTTACACTAAAAGTAATATTTTACAAAATTTTGGTGTACTTTTAATCAGTTTAAAAATGGTAAATAATAATGATTATAAAAATTGATGAGAATGGGGGCGACAAAAGTAGAGCAATAAATTGTATTCAACAGATTTTATTGTGTCTTATTTCAACAAAAAATATTTAACACATTTAAGAACAATAATAATTGAAAGTAATATATTAGTAATTGATAGAATATCCATTATTACTAATAACTTGCTGACAACGGCGCGGCATTGAAGCAATCAACTTTTGAATGACATTTTCGGGAAGATTTGCCCAAACTTCATTAATTTTATCTATCAAGGATTGTTTATTTGGAAACATTTGGGTACGAATACCACGTTCTACTTCTTCCCAGAGATTTTCAATAGGGTTAGGTCTGGGGATTGCGCTGGCCAGAAAACTCGAACTTCATTTTCCCTAAACCACTATTGAACAACTTGAGAAGAGTGTTTTGGATCGTTGTCCTGTTGGCATTTCCTATTCTGCATAAGGAAGCATAACATTCTGCATGATATCCCTATAAACAAATATCGCTTAAACTTTAACCCTCTGTAGCTACGAAACAAAGCAGAATCAGACCTTTATTGATAAAAAAATAAACTTATTTTTACGTAAGGAAACCCCCCACGAGAGATGGCACATATTTTTTGAAACACCCCGCATATCATCTCTGATACCAACACAATCTGTTTTTAATTTAATTTAACAACTTTGGGCAATGAAAATCCGTGAGTACGCCTCTGTCGAAATATTTCTCGATAGCAAATAGCTTCAATAGCCTAGCCTTAGACCTGTCTATGACGTTTCTTGAATGCATTATTAAACTAAAATGTTTGCTTGAACGTGTTGCAGTTATATTTTATTTTATTTGTTTATAACAAATAATACCAAATTATTAATGTTAGTAAAAAAATGCAATTGGAAAATCATTAAATTAAAATAAAAAAAAATATATATATTAATTGGTTAAAAACTGTACTTATTTATGAGATATATACAGGGTGTTTCGTTTAAAATATTGGAGAAAAATAAATATAACATTTATTTGAGTTTAGTGTGATTATAGTTTCGTAGAAAAAAACAATACTATAAAAGACCATACAATCGAAAAAAACAGCGTCAGAGTTGGCTTGGAAATGAAGATCGCTGTCTTTTTATATGTAAAATTATACGGGGAAAGTCATCAATCATCATTTCCAAGCCAATTCGACGCCTTTTTTCGAGCATACGGTACTTCTACTTAAAAAACGATTGATGAATTTGTGGATATACAATTTTTAGAGACCTTTAAATGTGTAGAATATTTAGTTTAAAAATGGTTGTATTTCAAAATTATCCACCGATACTAGAATCATCTTCCTTCTAAAAAAAATATATTTTTTTAATATTATTTCATTAATTTCTCTACATAATACATATTTTGATCGTTCCTGACAGCAGTTGATAATTTTTTTTATTTTTGAAAATGAAACGTTTTGTTTTGTTGGTTTGACCCCCGAATCTTCGCATTTTTTTTAATTTTCAACAATGAAGAACCCTGTATAATAAATTCTAAGTTATATAAACTTACTCCTGCTGCTATTTGGGCTCCCCTCCTGTAATGACCTGGGTGCAGGGAGGCTGCTACAATTAACTGAAGAATGAAGGCGATGAAGTAACATACTGTACATATTCCGGTGTTTACCAGTTCCTTAAAAATACAAAAAAATATATTTAATAAAGTTTTTCTAAGTAAATA